AATAACTCACAAGGACCAGCGGCATTTGTAGCATCACCAAGCACAGTTGTAGATCCATCATGGTTTGCAAATTCAGGAGCAAACAATCATGTCACTGCTGAGATAGGAAGTCTGATTGAGGCACATGAGTATGGTGGTAAGGAGAAACTCACGATTAGTAATGGTAACAAACTCAATATCTCTCATATTGGCACAAATTATTTGAACACACCGAATGATAAGTCATTAGTTCTCAGTAATGTATTGTTGGTACTATCAATTAAGAAAAACCTGATAAATGTTTCACAACTAACATCTGATAATGGAGTTTTTATGGAGTTCCACTCTGATTTTTGTGTTGTCAAGTGTAAAGTCCCAATTTTTTTTTTTATAAAATAGAATTTATTTATTCTATGTGCTATATTTTAATATTTTGGGAAGTGATGGACTAAAGTATATATATATTGAATTATATTTTAATTGGGCCAAATATTTAAATGTTGATAGAGTAATAATAAATATATCAATATTAGGCTTGTTGGATAGCTCGAAATTAATCATGTATATTAAGCTTGGGAAAAAAGTTTAATCGATTAATTTAGGTCCAGGATTTTTCAATTTATAAAAGTGATTTTTTTTAAATTTAAATATTGTATTTAAAAAAAGGGGTGCATGTGCACGTGTAGCTAAATGGAAAAAGTGTAAATTTGTTTTAAAGTGTTTTGTTGCCTTGATTTTGGGAATTTATGGGAGTTGTCAATTAGTTTTAATTTAATATTATTTATTTGTCTTGATTTTAGGAATTTATAGTGATGTTTTGCCATGTGTAGATTGATAGGAAAGGTAATGACTTTTTAGTGTATGAATTTTCGGAATTTAGACTTTATGGTGGGGGAAAACACGGTAGTTTACATGATTTTTGGCCTATATTGGATAGTGAAAATGGAGTAGATTAGACTACTACCTTTATTATGGATTGTGATTGTCCTCTATATATAACCATATGAGTGCAATAAAATTTGCTCACCAAACAAAATCATTATTCAACACTGCAGTAGCTGGAATAGGGATCCTGAACGTGATTTTGTCGTCTTTCAAATTATCTGATCTAACGAGGTAGGATACTATGTGAAAGTTATTATATTGTCTTGGACGCACGTATCCTACTGAATTTTAAATTACTCACTCCTTCAAATTTTAACATCTCAGGCTTGATCGGTCAACGTGTGGTAGTTGGGTGATGTGCGGGTTACCAAGTAATAAATTTTCAGGAAAAACATTAAATAATAAATTATGTTGCGATATTTTGTGTTTTCCTTACTTTTATTTAATATTCTAGGTTTCGCGACTCTATGTTTGATTCGGTATTTAAATGTTCAAATAAATCAAGAGTTTAATTTCTAAATTAAATAATTCTGCTTCGAGTGTTATTATGAAATGATATCGATAACACCCCAAAATTTAAGTCAATAAAATTTGGGGCATTACATCAAGGACAAACAAACGAAGGAGGTGCTGATGGAAGGGAAGTTTAAGGATGGTTTGTATCAAATTGAGCATCCAGGTCGAGCTGAAACTAAAAAGTTTTCCTATCAAGAGTCAGTTTATCCAAATAAGTTAAATTCTTCAACATTTGCTGTTCGGTCCAAAGTATCCAAAGAGTGTGTTTAGACTAAAATTGTGGCATATGAGACTTGGACATCCTACTGGCTCTGTGATGTCACAAGTACTCAAATCTTGTAATGAAAAAATCAAAGCTAATAAACTTATTAAGCTATGTGATGCTTGTCAACTTGGTAACTCACATTCCCTTCCATTAAAACTGTATGTCTCACATGCCTCAACACCCCTTGAATTGATCCACACAGACGTTTAGGGTCACGCACCTATTCTTTCAACATCTGGTTTTAGATGCTATATTCTCTTTGTTGATGACTATAGTAGGTACACTTGGATCTATCCAATGAAAAATAAATCAGAAGCTTTAAATCTATTCATTTAATTGAAGAACATTGTTGAAAACAAGTATGATATGAAAATTAAAGCACTTCAATCAGATTGAGGAGGTGAATTTAAATCCTTTACTGAATTAGCCTTATAATATGGCATTGATATGCGTCTCTCATGTCCTCACACTTCAGCACAAAATGGTAGAGCTGAGAGAAAACACAGACATATAAAAGAAACTGGGTTAACCCTTCTTGCTCAAGCCAATATGCCCTTTCATTATTGGTGGGAGTCCTTTCACACAGCAGCCCACCTCATCAACAAATTACCTACACCAGTTCTCCAAATGAAATCACCTTGTGAAATTTTAAACAATGAGCAAGTTGACTACAAGTCTTTAAAAATTTTTGGGTGTGCTTGTTTTCCTCGTCTTAGACCATATCAGCAACATAAGTTCAGTTTTCATTCCATCAAATGTGTCTTTCTTGGTTTTAGTAATTCACACAAAGGTTACAAATGCCTTAGTCCAACAGGTAAAAATCTATATATCTAGACATATGGTCTTCAATGAAAATGAATTCCCATTTCATTCTGGTTTTCTCAGCAAAAGAAACAACTCACAGAAATCTCGAACTATTATTCAGTATATACCATTTCATTCCTCTCTAAGCTATGATCCAATTGGCTCAACTGATACAACTCATCCTGATGCAACTCTAACAACAACTTCTCAAAGTCCTGAATAAACTGAAATGACCAGAAATGAGGCATCCGATGAAATGAAAATGAGAACACAGTGGCAAATGATGAACATACTCAAGTGGAAAGTCAAAAAGTAATTGTAAATGATTAGAGTAGGCTGAAGTAAATGAAGAACCAAATCAAGGTGTTACAAAACTAGAAAAACAGACTGTTGAGCATCATATGATTACTAGTGTGTTCAAGCCAAAAGTTTACTCTACTCAATGCAAAGAATATATTTTGGACCACAAAGAACTTGAACCAAATAATGCATCTGAGGCACTGCTAAGTGAAAATTGGAAGGGAACAATGGAGGATGAGTACTCAGCACTGATGTGGAACAAAACTTGAAAGTTGGTTCAACCATTGGTCAATCAGAAGGTGATAGGAAACAAGTGGGTTTTCAAAGTTAAACGCAACATTGAAGGAAAGATAATGAAGTACAAAGTCAGACTTGTTGCCAAAGGATTCTTGCAGACCTCAGGTGTTGATTATCATGAAACTTTCAGCCCATTGATAAAAGCTTCTACCCAAAGGATAATCCTTGCACTAGTTGTTTTAAAAGGCTGGAGTATTAGACAAGTTGACATAAATAATGCCTTCTTGAATGGGAACTTAGATAAAGAAGTCTACATGAGCCAGCTAGAAGGTTTGTTGATAAGGCAAATCCCACTTTTGTTTGTAAACTCAAGAAAAGCACTCTATGGACTCAAGCAAGCACCTAGAGCTTGGTACGAAAAGCGAAAGAAGACTCTCCTTGATTGGAAGTTTACAAAATCCAAAGCAGACAGTTCTTTGTTCTTCTATATGAATTAGAGCCAAGTCATCTTTGCCTTAGTATATGTGGATGGCATAGTAGTAACTAGCAATGATAACAACATGCTGCAGAATTTTATTAACAACTTAAACACTCAGTTTGCATTAAAGGACATGGGAGAACTACATCAATTTCTGAGAATCGAAGTAAGAAGGCATGAGTCAGGTATGCATCTTCCTCAGATAAAGTACACAAAGGACTTACTAAAGAGGTTCAACTTTGAGCATCTCAAACCCCGTGAAACACCAATGACAGTAGGCAAGTGTATCTCTAAAAATGAAGGAGAAAGATGGCAGATCCCTCCTTATTCAGAAGTGCAATAGGTGATTTACAATACTTATTACAATCACGGCCATACATATCCATTGCAGTGAACAAAATTAGTCAATTTCTGTAGGCTCCCTCTAATACACACTGGAAGGCAGTAAAACAGATTTTCAGATACCTAAAAGGGACTATTAAGCAAGGCTTATGGATTTAAAGAAGTAACAGAATGGAGATCAATGTCTTTGCTGATGCTGATGCTGATTGGGCATCATGCCTTGATGACCGGAGATCAACAGCAGGTTATTGTTTTTATTTGGGAGATACATTAGTGGCCTAGTCCTCAAAGAAACAACAAGCGGTAGCCATGTCATGCACTGAGTCAGAATATAGAGCTTTAGCTTAGGCAACTGCAGAGATAACTTGGATTGAATCACTCCTTAAAGAAATCAAGTTGCACCCTGTTCATCATGCACAGACAAAGCACATTGAGCTAGATATACATTTTGTTAGGGATAAAGTTCTTGAAGAAAAACTGAAAATACAGTATGTTCCTTTTTCAGATCAAATTGCAGACCTGTTAACTAAACCACTTTCACAAACCAGATTCACATTTCTTAAAGACAAGCTTGGAGTTAAAGAATAGACTCTAGCTTGAGGGAGGCTTTTGAAATATATGCATTTGTCATCATCAAAGTTTACGTGTGGAATGCAATGGCAATCACAAGCTGAATGTGCACTTATGGGACCACATTTGATTAGTTATAACTGTATTGATTCTCACGTGTATAGAACATTCCCTTCTTGCTCATCACTTCAAAATTGTATATAAATTCTTTATGTTCTCTTCTCTGTAATATAGTGATATAAGAATATATATTCAACTCTTCGAAATTTTGTTTAGCTTCCTTTGCCTTTTTTATCAATTTCAACTCATATTATCTTGCGGCTAAATGAGAAAAGGGAGAAAGGGTAGGGAAGAAGCAGCAGGAAAGAGAAACGAAAGGAAGGAAAAGTGAAAAAAAAATGTACAAGAAGAAAGAAATATATTTCCAACAACTCTCAGACATAAAAAGCTCATTAAATGTTATTTAATTTGTTATATAAATAGATACTGGAATTTTCTGCATCTGAATTTTGGTGATCTGTTTGGTTGCACAATAATTATTGGAGCGTATAATATTCGAAACTTTTTATTTTTCTGGTTTTCATTCTATATCTTATGACTGTATGCATGCATTTTTTGCAGAATATGGTGAACAATTTGATTTCAATTGGTTTGGGACGGGAAGATGCCTTTGCAGCTGCTCTTTTGGGAGACACTGTACTCATGGAAAAAGCATGGCAGGAGACTGGGATGTTTGCTGAGGCTGCGCTCCATGCTCATGTATATTTTGGTTAACCTAATTTTTTTTACATTGCTATATGATAGAAGTACACAATCTGACCTGCCTCTTTTTCTTCAGGCTCATGGTCGACCTTCATTGAGAAACTTAGTTTAGGCATGGAACAAGATACTGTAAAAAGGGAGTACACTCCATCTACTAAAATGGACTCTGCAACTGCATTTTTGGCTTCCCTTGAGAAATCCAAGCTCACAACTTGCAAGATGCTTCAAAGAAGCCACCGATTGAAATTCTACCTCCTCCCATGGCGTCGTTATATGGTCCAAATACAGGTCAATCTAATCAGAAAAATCCGGTCTCAGCAACCTGGAAAACAGCTGATGTTGGAAGGGCATATGACCACACCACTAAATGCATCCACCAGAGTCAAATGCTGCACCCACTACAGAATCAGGTAGAGGTGTCAATCCGGGTGGTCCGGGCCGGGTCGGCCCGCCAACATGTGAGCCCGGTACCAGCCCGCGTGAAAAAAAGCCCGCCCGCTGTGGGTTCCGGGCCGGTTACTGGTCGGCCCCCAATTTTGGACTACAACCCAGGCCCGCCCGCTGACCCATCCGGGTCGAGCCCATGCGGGTCACGGGTCGCGCGGGTCGCGGTTCGTTCCGATTTTGGCCCGTATGATTGTATAAATAAAATTATAAAAATATAGAATTTTTCATATTTATAGCAAAAAATATATTTTTTTATTAAATGTAAACTAAGAATTGAACAAAATGATAAATTCATAATTATATCAAGAAATTTTTACATAGAATTCAAATTTAATGTTACATGAATTATTTATAACTTTGCAAACTTCTACAACATTATCATCTTCTAAATTTATTGGAGAGCAACTATTATTGAAAATAGGATTTTGAGAAAAAGAATCGCGAGAATCCATAATATAGTAGGATTAAAAAATTTAGTAGTGACTAGTGAGAACCGAGAAGAAAGAAATATAATCAAGATGATGATGATATTTGCAATTGAATAATTGTAATTGTAGTAAGGTAGTAACAAGTATGAACTATGAAGTATAAATGTATAATAACTAATGAGAGGGTATTGTAAAAATAATCTCCCCCCTTTTTTTAATTTTTGTTTTATTTTTTTTTTCAAATTTTTTTTACGGGCCGCGGGTTAACCGCGGCCCGTGGGGGTGCAACCCGCGAAACCCGCGGGTTACACCTCCTTGGCCCGTGAACCGCCCGCACGGGTCACGGGTCGGCCCGCGATCCTGGTTTTCACGGGCCGATTTTTACGGGTCATGGCCGGCCCATCCATCTTGACACCTCTAGAATCAGGTGCTCCACAGAATTCAGAATCACGGGCTCCAGGTATACCAGAATTAGGAGCTCTAGCTACACCCTAACCTGTGTCGACTCCTGAGTCAGGTGCTCTAGCACCATCTGAGCCAGATGCTTCAGTTCCCCCAGTCTCAGGGTCGAGTGCTCCAGCTCGTACCGATGTGAACGATGAAACTTCAGAAAATCAAAACCAAACATCATCATCGAGTGTTTCAGAACCTGATGGAACCGAAGAAAGTGTGCCACCAGCATCCAAGAGTCCTAGACCAACCACGACTCATGATGTCCCCAAGCAACCAGAAAACCAAGAAACAAATGTCCGTCCTGAACTTTAGTTGATTAACTTCAATTGACAAGCAAACTTTTGACATTACAGCATATCAGGTGTTTTACCAACGTTCTCTATATATAGATCTGAAATTTGTGTATTCTGTTCCTTTATCGTACTAAGGAAGCATTACAAATATATGTTAAGACAGGCGAGAGGACATTGCATTCTCATATCACTAGAATCATTGCAACATCTTGACTTTTGAATATCGGTGCTGCTGTTGCACTTCGATGTAGAATGCATTCTCATTCCTTTCCTGTGTATTGTTATGCCCGTCATCTGAGGTGCATTTGTTCTGTTGTTTTAGATTTGAAGTCAATTTTCTCACCTTTTTTTATTTGTAGTATGGTTCTATTAAAGCCTAGTTGATGATATTGAAATTGGTCTAAGATTTTGCAGTTGTACCGTGAGGAAACTGATCAAACTACTCATTGTTGTGTCTAGTATTTCATATAAAAAATGTACTTCTATTGTATTTGTTATACCTACATATTTGAAAGTTATTAAATGATTCTAGTTAACCTAAAATTGTGCTTCTTGAGTTGATATGCATCTGATCCAAGTATGTTCTACCTAAGCTTGAAAAGTTAGTTGTAAGTAGAAACTCACGACAATTCTTCGCTAAACTGAGAATTTTATTCAATAGTCTCTTTTTCAACAATTACATCAAGGGTGGTTGTTCGCCAACCCAACTCTTATCCTCGAATCTAACTCAATAATGAAGATTGGAAGTGCTAGAGACTTTTGCAAATTGTAGGTAGTCCCAAGCATCAGAATACTCAGCAACACAAGGAGAGACGGTGCCCTTCGCTGTAGTAGCCACCAACCACTTGTCCCTTTTTATCTCTACATTAGCCTCCCATCCAATAAAATTCCTTCCCCTTCTCCATGGTTGCATCACTTTGGAATCAGGAGGTGGTGACTAGCAGTTGTGCTACATGTATAGGTTTACATATATATGATGTGGTGAGATACGATTAAATCAAAATTTCTTCAACCAAATGAAAAATAGAATAAAAATATTCATTCTCTCTTTTTTACGCCTCATTTGTATACTTTTTATGTAACTACTTATATACAAGTAACATCATTCTTAATAGATTCCGAAACGATGTTATCCAGTAGTCAGGTTGTGTGGGAAAAACCCAAGAAATTTTGTCAGTCCCAACAATTGTGCAATATGTACATAATGGATTAATGTACAAGTAGCCAGGGGCGGACCTAGGAAGTGTTTTCAGTGCGGGGGATGTTAGCAAATGTACAAAAAAAATAACAACAATATTAAGGTGAAGAAAATGCATAATTAAGATTTTGAAAATTCAGATTTTCAAAATTCAAATTCTAAAAATGCAATACTAAAGCATGACAGGACTATCCAACACAAGATTTGAAATTGGGAGAATAGAGGCGCAAACCAAATCGATTGAAGGATTCAAATTGTTTCATTTCAGGAGCATGTTTAATACAATACTGAAGTATACCATGGTTGCAAGTAATAAAGTAAAAATACCAAAATATTCCTGCAACTAAAATCAAATGGCTCACTAAATTAATCTCAATAGAAATATATAATTTCATATTGATAATTTTAGTCACTAATAAGAGCCACAACACTTACTAGAGTCATTTCATTAGTTTCTTCGCTACCCTCCGTTTAAATATACAGTTAGGCATTAATGAGAGCAATTATGCAAAAAACCCGTAAAGTGAAACCTAGAATCTTCGAGCAATTATGCAAAAACCCATAAATTGAAACCCAAAATCTTTGAACAATTATGCAAACCCATGGAATCTATATCATCAATTCAAAACATACCTATCGCTCTTCAAAAAATTCCACAAAGTCAACATACGGTTTTTCCTTTGATTATTTTAGAGTTCTCGAGGTATAAAATCGTTCAAAAAAATGAACTTTTCTTTGCTGTTTTGTCCACGGAGTTGTTCAAATGCTGTTCACACAATCCACAGAGATTGAATCAAGAAAAATCTTGTCCTTGAATGGGTAGTGAATGGAACTGTCGAACAGGTTTTGAGATTGCTAATGGCTTGGGGGTTTCATCTTGTGTCTCTTTGGATTCTCTTCATCTTTGAAGTCAAGGAATTGGGAACGAAGGATTTGTTATAGAATTGTATTAGGCCCATTTCAATTTTTTTTCTTGGGATGTGGGTGGCCCAAAGTTCAGTGCAGGCATCTGAGATGCCTGCACTGGGTCCGTCCCAGCAAGTAGCATTATTCCTTTCCCAATACCATAAGAGCACTAACAAGAAGCACATGAATTTTAACATTTTCTACAGTTCATTCTAAAGTTTCTCCATCATTTTCACATCAGCTTTTACTGCATCAGAGAAATTAAAGCATACTAATCACATCCATCAAATTACTATATCACCTCTTAATTTCAAAATAAACAAGGAGAAAGAATCAAACTTTTTGGGTATAGACTACTGAATGAATGAAACTTATTTGAGTAGGAAAAAGCTGAGTAATTTGGTGCTTCTCAAGTGAATCCACAAGACGTTGAGGTAACCCCAATTTCGAAATATGAAATTGACCCTTCTCATTTCCAGCTTCGCTCTCAAACACTTGCCTTTTGGATTCTTCGTATTTGCTTTCGTTAACATCCTGCGAACCTTCTCCAAACCCACCAAGTCAGTTGAAGGCCTCCTCACTCAAAACCGAAGAGTTGGGAGTCACCAAAGCTTATGTGAAAAAAAGAACACGAATTCAAGTTCAAGTTCCCATCGGTGGACTTGAAGACCAACTCGGCAGGTTTCGAGAGGGAATAGCAAAGAACACGAAAAGACGAGGGTGAAGCAAGCCAAGTTGAAAGTTGACCAAAAGCAAGCATCCCAAGTCAACAAACTAAGTTTAAGAGATCAATGTCAAGACGTCGAGCTCACATCATGTGAAGACTATAATACAAAGCTAGAAAGTAGAGGTTAAGGTCACGTTGGATAGAAAATATGACAAGTCAACATAGTACTAAAGTAACAAGCTCGATAGAGAGAATTCAACCTAGAAGGTGTCTAACATGGCTCATGTTCATCACCCTAGCAAGGCCTATCAGACAAAAAAAAAGAATGATAATAATTAATACACTATTAACGAGAATCATAGCATATTGTACTTCGAAAAGTTGTTTTGCTTTAACTTAATCATTAGGACAACTATTCCTCCTCTGCTTCACTAATATCTGTCTAATCTCCTTCAAAAGTACAGAAACGGGTAGATATCTGTCACTTTTATCCATCTCACCACATTCCTTCTCTATAAAAAATCATAGAATTTGAGTTTTCAATATGAATATCACGTCTTTTTATGCCCCCGTTTAACATCCATTCTCTTCTTATTCTCTTTCTCATTTTTTTTCTCTTTCTTCATTTCAATCACACATTCTATCAATAAAATAATATTACACATAAACCCAAAAATTCTTCTTACTTTTTAACCACACATTCTTCCCATCAATCACTATTCCAGAATTTATTTTTCACCAAAATGAGTGTCAAACACACCCTATATTCCTTCGTCATCCAATGATCAAAATATTAGATCAAATTCTAAGAGAGAGGATATAGAGCATACTTGTTAATAATGTTAAAAGAGTAAGACATATCGAGTCGAGTTGAGGGTGCGTTTAATAGATATTATTGAGAAAAGAATGTATTTTAAATAGTGATATGATGGGAAATATGCGTTTAAAAAGTAAGAAAAAGTTATTGATGTGATGAAAAATATTATTTTATTGAAAAATGTATGGTTGAAAATGAATTTTAAAATAATGTATTTTAAAAGAATTTGTGTCATACAAGGGGTGAGTCTTACTGCTCTGTAAGATTTAATCTCATTGGCAGCTGGGTTTTTTAAGCACGGCCCGGGTTGTGCGCGGTGTGGTGGGTCCCACTACCCTAATTAAAATATGACGTTGGCCATGTGATGGAGGAATCCTAACACTGGCAAATTTCAGCTCTTTCCCTTAACTGGTATATATGGGTTTGCAATAATAGCCAAAACAGATTCTCCATGTGCTAAGATTGCTCTCTCTCTCTCTCTCTCTCTCTCTCTCAACCTTTCTTTTACCTCCTTTCTCTATTTAAACTCAGTGTTATATTTAACCTTCAACCTATCAATATTCCAAACTGCACTGTGCACCCTCTTCAGACGAATTTCAACGTGTGTTCGTGGGGCGTCGGGGACAGAGATATGAGGGGCTTACTAATGATGATGACAAGATGGGGAGGCCTAAATGGTGCTGGATGAAGAAAATGAATGGAAAACTTAAAGGGCTCAGGCTATTACAGTCAATAAAGTTGATCTGGAAGCCATTTTCTATTAATCTTATATTATCAAGAATGATTGCTAGGATTTATGCCGATATTGTTAAAGGAATGAAGAAAATGGATGAAATATGCCCTGCTATTGTCTTTTCATGTCAATGGGGACTTCCTATTCTTTCACATTCATCTGTTAGCAGCAGAAAAAGGTTCCTTTTTTTTAGAGGACTTCACGAGGATTTGAATGCCAATTTATAACAGAAATTTGAGCTTTATGCAAGTAATATACAGTGTTTCTCTGATTCTTTAATAACAAAATCTGCTAAATTCTTGTGAAATTTCTATAATTTGACATGGTCGCGTATAAAATGCAGTCATAAACATGTTCTGCACTGCAAATACTGTCCTCAGATGTCAACTCGTTATGCATAAACTTGGGGCTGTCTACATGAATTTTTTTTTTTGGTCACTTGTACAGATAATTGCTACATGGAAAACTTGAAGCAATTAAAATACATAAATGGCAGGTGAAAATTTTGTCAGATCATTGTAAACATTTTAATTGACAGAAATGCTCAAGATCACTAGTATTAATACTAAGCAGTCTAGCTACTCAGGACAGAGTGGAAGAAGGGGGAATCTTGAAAATTTATGATTATACATACTTTTATCGAAAAAATCAATCAGTAAGATCGATTCTGTACAAGAAATAGGTTGAATTCATTTTCT